CAGTCAATGGTTATAAAGGGTTTTGATCCTGTGATTTGTACAATCAATCATTTTGATTCAGAACTCCCAGGAACCCTCTTTTGCTTGACTCCTGCCCAGCTGCCATTGTTTATGGCTGAAGATCCTGGGAAGAGGCTAACGGGTGAACCTGCTGGAAGGGCAAAGCATCTTTGATTAAACTGAAAGAATGGCCTATGGCAGAGGTTGGGACTCGTTTTGGTGAACTATATTTTATTTGTATAAAATATGCTTTTTATTGAGATAATATTCAGAAGAGTAAGCGATCTGACATACACACAGTTTGATAAACAAGAGTTTACAATGTATTCTTTTTTCCATTGAAGTCCTCCTTCTTCAGAAGTGGCAGAGGTTGCTATAAGATTGTCTATTAAATCTGTCTAGAGCTACTTCCTTTAAAAATCCATGTATCCCCCACTGATTTTACCATATCATTTAGATATGCCACCTGCATGACATTCCCCCAGATGGCCACATTTGCAAGTTATAATAAAACAAAGTTTTTCCCTTTCCAAAGCCATACATTGCCCACTGATTTTGTCAGAGTGTATTTCACCTCCTTGTTCCTCAGGCTGTAGATCAGAGGGTTGAGCATGGGGATGACAACTGTGTAGAACAATGAGGCCCATTTGTCTTGGTCCATGGAATAACTGGAACTCGGTCGGAAGTACATATAGAGAAGTGTTCCATGGAATATCCCGACAGCTGTCAGGTGAGAAGCACAGGTGGAAAACGCCTTGTGCCTGCCCTCAGAGGAGCGCATTCTCAGGATGGTAGCCAAAATATAGACATAGGAAACAAGAATCATACCAATGCTGCTTGCTTCAAAGAAGCCATCAATGGTAAATAGCAGAATCTCATTAACATATGTCTCAGAACAGGAGAGTATGAGAAGTGGAGGTTCATCACAGAAGAAGTGATTGATAATATTAGAGCTGCAGAAAGATAGTCGGAATGTACAGGATGTTTGTATCATTGAATCTAGGAGAGCTATAGAGTACACAATAGTGATCAGTTGCTGGCAGAGTTTTTTCGACATTACATTTGAATAGAGAAGTGGATTACAGATGGCAACATATCTATCATATGCCATCAGCGCCAATAAAAAGCACTCTGAATCTGCAAGCATATCAAATAGAAAGAGCTGGGTAGCACAGGCACTGTAAGAAATCCTTTTAGTTGCACTTAATAAGTCAGACAGCATTTTAGGAGCAATGGTTGAGGAACAGCAGAGATCCACAAAGGAGAGGTTGCCCAGGAAGTAATACATGGGTTTCTGGA